ACAGGTACGGAAGTTTGCGTCCAAACTTCCATCCAGTCGATTTCCATAGCTTCATTGGCGTGACTAGGAAATCGACCGTCGCGCCCCCTGTTCCAAACCAAAAGGTCCCCTTTGATTCCAAGGGATGTGCGTACGGAACTGAAAGCGGTGCCACGCGCGGCCTAGGGTTCCATTTCCTAAGAGTACCAGTAGGAAGCCATCGAATCCTGGAGGTCTTAAAAGGAAAGGAGGCCCAAAGCACAAGGTCGAGATCGGCGATCAGGTCGAAGTGACGGCGTTCCGTGCGTGACTGCCGCAAACTTTAAAAATTGTTGCAGGTACGTTCCCGAGGCGCCCTTCAGGAATATCACAACACGATGGAAGGGTCTTCGTTGGGCAATGCCTTCCAAAGTGTTCATTGCCCCCCTGCTGATGAAAAACAATTCAAACGAATCCCTGTGACTACAAGGGGCACACACACACACGCCTCCCCAAAGGGAGGCAAAAATTAAGGCTAGGACGAAAGTGCAAATGTGCGCGCCACAAGGACAAAAGGGTGAAGACATGAGAAGGAAGACGAGACGGAGACAAAAGTGTGTGTGGTTGCGATGAAAGAGAAACCAAGTGCACAGGGACAACCGATGAATCCCACCTCATTGTCGAGACCTGGGCGACCTAAAACCACAGACTAAGGCCCAGACCGTTGTGCGCGCAAAAGAAAGAAAGGAGTGAGATGAGAGGACATGAAGCAAGGGAAGACATGAAAAGAAAGAGGAGAAAGAGGTGTGTGAAGGGGAAAGAATGAAAAGGGAACCAAATGGAGGGGACGGGAACCAATGAAGCCGAACCTCATTAGAGAACCTTTGCAAACCTGGTTGAAAATGTACATGCTGTGTGTGCATCTGAGGCGGCGACGGGTCCCAACGGACCCTAGATTGCTTCGGCCGCTGCGGCCACGTACGCCGTGCCAATATGGCTGGCTGCTTACACCGCTGCGGTCACGTAAAGGCGTAAGCCAACTTGGAGTTCCAAAATGAGACAAAATCTGAGTTCTCTCGGCCTAGGCCACCTTCGCCCGCTGTGGGCACTTACATCTCCGGGCAGGGGAGATAACGACAAACCCGGTCTACGGGAGGCACTCTGCGGGCTCATCCCGGGTTGGCGCGAGGCCAAACACACTTATGGATATGCGTACGGAACTGAAAGCGGTGCCACACGCCGGCCTAGGGTTCCATTTCCTAAGAGTACCAGTAGGAAGCCATCGAATCCTGGAGGTCTTAAAAGGAAAGGAGGCCCAAAGCACAAGGTCGAGATCGGCGATCAGGTCGAAGTGACGGCGTTCCGTGCGTGACTGCCGCAAACTTTAAAAATTGTTGCAGGTACGTTCCCGAGGCGTCCCTCAGGAATATCACAACACGATGGAAGGGTCTTCGTTGGGCAATGCCTTCCAAAGTGTTCATTGCCCCCCTGCTGATGAAAAATAATTCAAACGAATTTGTGTGACTACAAGGGGCACACACACACACATTGGACATCAGTGAAGTGTACTGAGATTGTGTGTTGGTGACTTGTGCAATTTTTTACTCCTGTAAGTGTTTGCATCCAGCTAAGCACAGTACTAAAAGCAGCTTTCTCTACCTTTCCACAAGGAGCTGTGTCTCGCTGTGACGCAGGAGGCCCGGGAGTCCTTGAACTTCCCAAGCTGCGGGAAGCAGGCGACTGTCGGTGGCCGCTTTCGCTGTCAAGTGTGTAGATTTGGTTGTTGTTCGCCTAGAGATGTACAGAGGATGGCAGAGGTGTAGGTCCATATGTTTGAGCGTGATTTGTACCCGGAATCAAGGCGGAGGGCATGAAGCGCACGAACCCCTCCTGGTCGCTTCCAAAGGTGCGCATGGGGAGATCTTGAGATGAGTCATTCTTGAAGCAGTAATGCTGTTGTTACTAGTAGCGTCCTTGTTACTACTAGTAGTAGTAAGGCCAGGAGCCCCTAGCAGCGTCCTTGCTCCTAGAATAAGTTCATGTCAGGTCAAGTCTAAGCTCCTCTAAATGCCTTTAAGTCCGCTGTGTTTTGGCTGAATTCCCCTGTCACGCCCAGGCAGGACGTGATGATGTGGCCAAAGTCTTCATCTCCAAGAAGCTGCCGCAGGAGTCTCCGAAGCTCATGTGGATGTTATATATAGAGAGATTGGATAGGCAAGGTGGCAAGGTAATTGGTATATCTATGTTTGACACGGACGAGGCTTTGACCTTGTACCCAACAGTTTACCTCACCCCTTGACCCTCTCCAGGGCCTCGGCCGCGGTTCGCCCGGCCCTATCTATGACCCGAAGCGCGTTCGGCAAATGCCGGTGACCAGCTTTGCCGGCTCTGAGCGGCCTCCGCTAGGCACCGGGGCGAAAGTGTCTGCAAAGACCGAATCGATTTTCTGGACGAACCGAATTCAACCTAATAGCGATGGCCTCCAACCTGTGTTTACTTACTTGAACCACTGTCATATCATGACTGCACAGACTTTGAATCCGTTGTCAAATGAAGTATTTCGTGCTCCGCTGGATGGGTCCCATCATCTCTCATTATTTTGACTGCTCTCCAGCACATCGGCCAGGAAAGGCAAAGTATCCCGACACATCGAACGACCTGACACAGGTGCAAACGATTCTCCATTTCTTCATGATAAACACCCTCAATCCGACTCCAGTCCTAATCTTTTTGAGTTGGTAATGCAGCAGTTTGATTTCATCCACGCATCACAGTGGGAGCATGTCAGCGGTCTAACGGCGGTCTGGTTGGGATGTCTGGAAGGTCACTCCGGACTCTCAGCCTTTCAAGTACGGGGAGCCCCGTTCCGCCACCATGGGCACTTGCCCGCGGGACGTCCCTTTGTTGCAGAGTTCTGGTTGGAGCCGCTTGTGATTGTCATAGGGAAGGGAGGTACATAAGTTTATGTATATATATATATATAAAGCTTGTAAGGAAGGGAAGTCGCAGACATCAATGTGCCCTGCAAGCAACCAACTTTTTAGAGCCCCGGCCATTTCAGGGTCGATTTGCAGCCAAGGTGATCACCAATGCTCCTGACCTGCTCCTCGGATACGCATCAGATATGATTCTAGCTCTAGGATTCAGTATGTCTACCGCTGGAAGATCATTTTTGTCTTCCAATAATTCTTTTTCCTATGCTGACACAGTGAGATTTGGTACAAGGAATGGCTTTCCCAAAGGCCGCATCTCTCCAGGGCCCATGTGACTTGGACAGCTTTTGATCAAGTTTTCTTCCTTAGTTGTGCCCACCGACCACAGTGATGTGCCATTTTTGGAGTCCCAAAGCCAGCTTGGAAGGCGATACAACATCGCCAACTGTCCACCGGCCACGCGGCTACAGCATGCGCCGGGCTGTGACCAGGTGCCACCAAAGCACCTCGGGTGCAAGGAGTGGGAAGGCTCCTGGGCTCCAAGGCACAACACATGTGGTTGTGGCAACATCTCAGTTTCAGCAACCCAGGTGGAGCATCGGGCACAAGACCAAGATTCTAGAGTTGGAGTCGCAAACTGGTCAGAAAGTTGCTTGCCTGCTTTACGAGGATCAATAGGTTTGCTGACTGGCGTCAAGAAGTCACTCTATGCCATTGCCATATGCTCCTTCTGATTAATTCTGGATTTTGAAGAATCGTTGCTTCGGGACACACAGACACACACACACACACACAAGTGGCCTCTTGCCAAGGTTGGGCCTGGCACCTATCCACTTCCGGTGACTTGGCAGTGTTTTTCACGTGTGCCAACTGAGCTCGGTTCTACATTCTTACAAGTTTAATGCAAGAAGAGTTTGAGGGGAAGTAGACCCATGGCTGTGGTTATTAATCAATCCTGTTGAGAGGAGAGCTGGACTTTCCTCACATTCCGAGGATGCCTGCGGCAAACAATATGAATCGGACAAGAAAAGCAATCCCACCTGGAGTTGCTGCAAGAAGGACCGATTTCCGAAGAAGGCGGCTTGGGCTGACGGTGTGCGCGATCATTTCTTTGCTTCGAAGTCCTGGTCTCAAACACTTACTCTACCGGACTCTACGTGACTTGTTAAGACCTGACCCACCTGCAACAAGAATTCCCATCTTGTGAGCGCGCTGGAACGTTAAACTTGTTCGGGGTGAGGGGCACTAAATTAACATGATGACCCTGACGACACTCCGAAGTGGGATCAACCAGGTTTCCAAGGACGACACTTCGATGGCCATGGTGCATTTTCCAATTTTTCTTTTGAGTTTGAAAAGTCTAAGATGGTCCAAGAGTTTACTCTTGTGTCCGCGAGTCAAGCATGTCCGAGGCGCGCGAGCACGACACTGGCCGCCTTTGGGATGGTGAAGGAAAGAGAAAAGCACAGTTCAACAGGAGAGGGGCGGAGAAAAAAAGACAGAAGAGATGGTGGTGGGGAGGGTTGAGTCCTGAAACGGCCCTGCAAGGCCAGGGACCTTCGCATGAGGATCTTTGTTGCGTTGCATCAATAGGTTATTCCTACCGATCTCCAGAAAAAGAGACCAATAGATGGTGATGTGGGGCATAGTGACTCTAGGGGCCAGGGGGTGTCCATAACCGAGACGTTGACGAGGAAATAGCGTGAGACTAGGATGAACCACTGGTGGAGAAGAAACCGGCTCACCAACCGATTTTGCTGGTTTTGCTGATGGCATTGCAGCTCCTGTTCCACCCTCAGGTCACGGGTGCACGAGGGGTAGATCTCCTGCATTCCGCCAAGCAGTAGATCCTTGAGAATAGTTAGCCTTGCCCGCATGCATGTTTCAACCTACAAATACGACATACCACCATGGTGGGGCTTGTGTGAGAACACCTGGCAGAGAAGAGTCAAAGATTTATGCATGAGGGTCGTGAAGGATTTTTGCTCATGGATGTGCTAGGAACGGTGCTGCCAAATTTAAGACCAGCAACATTCGGCCACCAGAGGACTTGCACTGCGCCACCCTCTTTCAGCTTTGGCACCTCCACCCGCTTCCATGTCCTGCACTCAGCGGGGCATATGTTCTATTCAACTATTCTTTTGCCAGAGGTATTCTGGCAGCGTCGCGGCGGGCTGCTGTGCAAACTGCATGGTTTCAGTGGAACTCATGTTATGTTTGTTTTGCATGCTTTCTCAACGGAAGAATGAACAGGGGTCGACACATCGCATAGGAATAGAATTGCGAGATCAGATCTAATCCCGCTCCCCCCCGGTCAGACTTCTACCTTAGAATGTATATAGACTTGGACAAGCACTTGTATAAATGTATATATATATATATGTTATACCCTTCCCTTTTGCTTTTGCCCATAGCAGAATTTCAGCAACCACGCAGTCTTCAGTGCCGCCTCGTGGCCCCAGCCTTGCATATCCTAGAGAGAGAGAGAAAGAGAAAGAGAGACGAGAAAGATAATGTTGCACATAGACTTGTTTGCAGCGTGGGTTTCAGAACGTAAACAGGGCTCAAATTGGGACAGCCAAGCGCTGGTGGGGCTTTGGTAGCATGGGGTGAACATAGGTGCTCAAGTCTGACACAAGTCCGAAGAGCTTCAGCATTTTTGAGACTCCACTACAATAACTTGCATGAGTCTGAGTGGCAATTCTGGCACTCAAATCACCTTGCAGACTCCTCCAAGTACCGCAGCACACTCAACAAAGAAAGCGGCCCCCACTAGCTAGGATCGCACTTTATAATGCAGATCATTTTTCACCACCTTCCAACCCTCAAAGCAGCGTGGGCGGATTTGCTCAGGCACAAAAGCTTGCGCGAGTGCTGGCACCGGCAGATGAGAAGGCAGCCGTCCGAGAGTTGCATGGGATACTTCATTTTTATTCTTAAGTATCTTCAAGAACAACTATCATACTGAACTCATACTAATATCATATATTTTTGTTTCATTTTGTCACTTTGTTCAGCTGATGCTGGGAGGTCTTTGGCAAGCCACCGAAGGTTGTCCCGCCAGACATCGCTCCACGTCGGGACGGGCTTTAGGGGGGTGCAAGGCGGGCGGTGCGAGGCGGTGCGACCTCTGAACACTTAAGCAACGTTACATGACTCTGCTTTGAAACTAAGCGCAGAGGACTCTGATTTCAATGCAAGTGCTTGCTTTTTGAATTCTCGTGCCAGCTCCCCAGGAGATTGTGAGGTTCACAGATGTTCCGAAAGGAGCTTAGTGAGATGTTGGCAACATTGGGTCACCCATGCAAAGATGCAACCGTCTACAGTTGTGTAAATGCGCCCGGAGCAAAAGGCTCTTTCGAGATGTACAGTTTTGGACTGGAAGTCCAATCGTGTTTCACTCGTGACAGTGTGAATTGTAAATATTTTTCTGAAGTTGCATAGACCTTTCAAGTAATTGGTGCGTTTCAAACGTACTTGACATGCATCTAGGGTCTTCAGCACGAGGTCGGAGCAGCTTCAGTCGAAGGTGGAGTTTGCTCCTGCACGCTGCGTCGCTCGGGCTGCATAAACCACCGGGTACAATTGACTTTCACCTGTGGATTCGAAGAATCTGCGGAGCTAGTGACTTCGGTACCCGCTGCAAGCGATGTGCTGAGGGCAAAACGATGCAACATGTTGCAAGGGCACTTGGGCACTCAGCTGAAGCTGGTTCTCGATTGCTACGACACACTGCTTTGGTGATTTGCTTGCGGTTGCTTGATTGCCAAACAACACCTCTATCGAGACGCATCCACGGAAGAAAGGAGAGAGGCGGACGCACAAATTCTAACGTGGAGAGAGGCAAGAGCCTCGCTGCAGATGCAACTCCACGCGAGAGCCTGATGCTTCGATTGAGTATAGAGTCTACAGAGGACCTTTTCTTGTAAGACATTATAGATTGTCATGCTGTCCTCACCCCTCCTGGAAGCAGAACCTGTGTCTTCACGTGCCTTCCAACAATCATGTTGCTGTCTCTACCGCAAAGCTGGGGGTGGTTGTTCTCAGCTTCTCAGCTTTCCTTCCCAAAGCACAGAATCAGATAGCAAACACACTGAGACCATAATGCTGTGACAATTATAGCTGATTGCAAAGGTATACCCAACAGGCTTTCTGTCCAGGTCGTTGCCAAAAGATTCAACTCATACATATATATATATACACACACACTGTGATGATGACGACAATGACGACGACAACGACGACGACAGCAACTGCATGAACAAATAAGTACTGGTATTAAATAAGATTAGCAACAGCGGTGGCCACAACACGAGGAACAACAAGAACAAGCAAGAGAAATGACAGCAGCGACCATGAACAAGACGTCCGAACAAGAACCAACAACAGACAACAGCAAAAGAAATAACAGCGCCAACAGCAAGCCAACAACCAACAACCACCAACAACGACAAGAGCAACCACGGCAGCAACACAGAGCAACGGCGACGTCAAAAGCAAAAACCTTGGCAACACTTGGGGGTCTTCTAGCCTCCCTTCTAGCTGCGACATTCGAGCGTGCTTGCTAGCCCTGCAACAACTTAGCAATTCAACTGGTTTTAAAACACCAAGCTCAAGCGCCAGGAAAAGCAAACCGGTGCATGGTGACATGGAAACGAAAACTGTTGCAAAGTCTGCAGTGCACGTGGCTTTGGTTGACTGCACATGCTTCCTCCGGGCTGGTCCACCCCTCCACGCGGTTTAGTGCGCCCAACACCGCGAAGCCCGCCGCCTGGCCTTCCTGCCCTCCACGGGTGGCTTGGCCTCCGATGTGCCAGCTCCCGGCTCCCGCCCCTAGTAGCTTCTTGTTCCTAGTAGCGATGCCAGGAGCCCCTAGTAGCGTCCTTCTCCTAGGAGTAAGGCCAGGAGCCCCTAGTAGCTTCTTGTTCCTCTTGCCCAAGTTGCGCCAGCGTTGCAGGCCTCGGGTATTTTGCCCGGTGGGAGGGCTTTGGCCCAGTGCGGCAGATGCAAGCTAGAAGAAGTCAACGGCCATGTACTTTTCATTCCTCCTCCTTTGCCCCCTACCGGTGAAGCGTGCACGTGACTGCTGCTTTGACATGGCGGTTCCAGGTCAGCTACCGCATGCTCACCAGCTCAAGGGCTGCTGAGAGTGCCCGCAGGGATGGTTTTGAGATCCGGGTGCTCTTTCAGGCCAGCAGCCTTGCATTCACGCCGGAGTGCAGCAGTGACAGTCAGTGAGCACCGCCTGCGTGCACGACCAACCCACAGAGCTTGCAGATGACTTTAAGTCCTGTTTGCCACAACTGGTGGTTGGGGTGCCCGGCCGGTTCTCCTTGGAAGGCTTGGTCAATGCAGGTGCTGTTGATGAAGGCTTTGTAGGTTTCCTCCGTGGAGCGCTTAAGAATTGAAGTCAGCCTGGTGGAGGTGGCAACGCGCTCTGGATGACAAGCGCGGCTGAAATTGGTTGGGTTCTTGTAGTGCGAATCCGGGCCCCGCAGGCCCCGCCCGCCTTGCGTGCCCGGCCGCGGCTGGCTGGCGCCGGCGTTGGTGGAGCATCCTTAGCGTGGCGGTGCAACGTGCTGTCGCCGCTGCCGTGCTTGGCGGCCGGTGGATTTCGCCCGCGCTAGCGAAGGCCACCGGCTGCTCTCCGGGCTTGCTGAGGTCTTGGCCCTAGCCGCCTGCCTCCGCGCGGGTGAGCATGTTTCACTTCAACTCCGTGTCCCTCCCCGGTTGTCACCCAGACTTGGCTCGGCAGAAAAAGACATTTTTTTTCTAAAAAATTTGGCTGGCGCAACTCAATCGTTTTTCTTTCGCTTTCAGCACGATCCCGAAGAGCTTGCTTGGTGATTTGTTCCACAGCCTGTTTGTTGGAGACAAACTGGTTGTGCTGTGCTCTGCAGTGATTGAAGGAATCCAGTTCTCAAAGTCCTCCCAGACCTCTTTACTACTCACGGTCTTTGTGACCAAGAATTCTTCCTCAAGCCCCTTCTGGTCCTGTAGGTGGTTGTTGTGGTCATTCCAATTCCGGAGGAGCGTCTCTTCGGCATCAATCTTGTTCAAGATGGCTTTAGTCAGCACCTCCATACAGCATCCTTGCTCGGGATTCGTGACATCCACAATTTCTTCATTGACATACTCTGCCAGATTCGCCTGCACCAAGCGAAGAAAGTGAACCTTGGTGTGAGGAGCGCCTCCTCCACATCCCCACCTCCAGACGATTCCTCCGAACAACATGCCATATGAGCACCCTGGGAAGCTCCCTCACTGGAAAACATTCGCGCCGGTGTCTCGATGGTCCAGCTGTCACGCTCACGTCAAGCTGGAAGAGATCTGGGTCATTGGGGGCAAAAAGAATCAAAGGATTCCCGATGCAGACACAGCCACTTTTGAATCCAAGAGCCAGCAGCACCCTCCCCTCCATGTGCAACATGGACAATTGCGGAACACCTTCTCTTGTTTTTTTCCACGAAGCCGACGACGAGGAACACCATCTTCCCAACACGCCCGACAAGGCTGATCGGAAAGTTCAGGCAGATGCACCAACGCGTCCTCCGCTTCAGGGACCACCGCATCATCCGTGTAGAAGAACCGCTTGGTCCCGACCCCACCCCACCCCACCCCGCCCCACCCTACCCTACCCTACCTTATCCTACCCTATCTTATCCTATCCAATCTTATCCTATCCTATCGATCCTATCGGTCCTATCTTATCCATCAATCACATGTATCCTACCTATCTTATCTACATTATTTTTGTTATATATCTTTTGCGGACAGTCCATGCCACTGCCCGGTCAGAGCTACAGGTCTTTATAAATCAAACTGCCATGGAGACAACCATGGGCTCAGCTGGTGAGAAAGGAAAAGGCCTCTTCGCTTTGGTGGCGCTGGCGGAGGGGAGCGTTACAAGAAGGGTCTTGGACAGGCACCTAATCTTGGCTCACTGACCAGTGAGCGAGAACTCATAAAGGCATGTTATCAGTTTGGCGCAAGCTCAGACGCTCCCTCGGTGGCAACAAAGGGTCCAATTTGACTGCTGAGTTCAGGTCCGCACACAGAGCGGTAAACGCCGTGTCGGCGTTGCTGGCAAATCCTAATCTTAATGAGGGTTTGAAACGGCATCCCCACCCTGTTACTGAGTTTTCGAGGAGGGGACCTCAAACATGTAACTTACATTTTTTGGGGGGGACCCTAAATGTAACAACCCCCCCCCAAGGCAAGACTTCAGGGTCTCTGGAGGGGGGGAGGGGGCCTATAAAATGTAACTATGGACCTCCCAGGGCCTATGTTACATTTTTGCAACCCTTCTTTTCTTTTTGTTAACAAGATACCTCCAAGGTAGTCTCACAGGTGTATAGTTACATTTGTTTTCACCCGCTTTTAGCTTCGTGGAGCTTGCATGTGTATGTAGAGCATTTGGCTCCACGATGGCACATGCCGTTGAGAAAGACAACACCGAATTGGACTAAACGAGATTTTCAAAGAAAGAATAGAAATGGTAAACTTGTTATTTTGTTTGGCTCTGGCTGGCAGGGGTAAGGCTTGGTGATGCTTGGGAGGTGAAAAATTGGTGGATCAGGCAGCAAACAAACAGGTGGAAATGCAGGTTTTCAAACCCTGCACAAACACTACACTATGTTACATTTGTTTTGGTCCTTTTGTGAAATCTTTTTTCTTTTTGAGCTTGGGAGGTGTGAGACAGGGGGTGGCCAAACATGTTGTAGTGTGGTGGGCCAATGACTGAGAGATGCTGGAAGAAGGATGCTGGAACAGCTGGTCCAATTTCTGCCGTGGAAGTACTAACAGGACAAGAAAAAATGTAAAAGAGTTTTGGGTAGGCATGAAATACTCCATTATCACATGTGGTTCCCTGGACTGTGTGCCACCGGAGAGTTTGCTTCCAGCATCCTTCTTCCAGCATCTCTCAGTCATTGGCCCACCACACTACAACATGCTTGGCCACCCCCTGTCTCACACCTCCCAAGCCCAAAAAGGAAACACACTTCACAAAAGGACCTTAATAAATGTAACTTACTGTTTGTCCAGGGCTTGAAAACTTGTATGTTTACCTGCTTGTCTGTTGCCTGGGGCACACTTAGTTACACTGCCCAGTGTTCTCCCAGTGAGTTCTGGGCAGGCATGAAATACTCCATTATCACATACGGTTCCCTGGACTGTGTGCCACTGGAGGGTTTGCTTCCAGCATTGGCCAACAACACTACAACATACTTGGCTATCTCCTGTCTCACAGCGCCCAAAAAAACACATGAGGTCACAAAACAACTAACAGAAAGGTAACTTACTGTTTCTCTAGGGCTTGAAAACCTGCATGTCCACCTGCTTGTGTGTTGCCTGGGGCACACTTAGTTACATATTTTTATCACCCAACCACTGCCCAGCGTGCTCCCTGCCAGCCACGGCTGGTCCAATTTCTGCTGTGGAAGTACTAACAGGACAAGAAAAGATGTAAGTGAGTTTTGGGTAGGCGTGAAATACTCCATTATCACATGTGGTTCCCTGGACTGTGTGCCACTCGAGGGTTTGCTGGCTGGCTGGTTGGGTGATAAAAATATGTAACTAAGTGTGCCCCAGGCAACGCACAAGCAGGTGGACACGCAGGTTTTCAAGCCCTGAACAAGCCCTGCTTTCATGTTTGAGGCAGGTGATTCAGGTGGAAATTGGCAGGTTAGAGCTTGCTAGGACTTTGCATTTCGAGGGGCGTGCCACTGTGGGAATGTGGCCGATTGGCCA